ACCCTCGTCGGTCCGAAGTGCACCCTATCCCTCGGCGGGCCATTAATAATATACCCATATTGGACACAATTCACCTTGAAATTAACCGGCAGCCGATTGGTAAGCCTGGCCAAATTGACTTCGAAATTGACAATTTACGATCGCTCGCCCGCGCGTTACTCGCCTGCCCGCTCATTCGTTCGTTCTCTCGTTCCGTTCTACTCGTCTGGACTCTTTTCTGGTAAGCACCGGGCAGCCGTGACCGACGTTGAATCCATCAAAATGCCATCGTATTCGCAATCAAGGCTCATTACGCCGAGAGATACGCTTATTAAATCGCAATGCTATTAATCGTTACTGCGATAAACGTGTTATATTCAATTACAATATGTTATACGATTTTTCAAGTACCCCAAACATTTGCTGAAATGCTAATCTTTCTATCACGTCTGGGAGAGAGCTTTTATCTTGATTTTGTTGGTAATGAGACACGAACTTCCCGTTACGTTGACAAGACACATCGACAGGAAGGCATCGTAAGGAATTCTAAGATGTATACCGATTTAATGTGGCGTACATGTAGGTAGGGTCAGGCACGCACGCGATATCGCTCGCATGACACACCACGCACCTAGCCCGCATCTTCTCTTCTCCTTCTACCCGGCACGCTCTTGCCATCGTCATTTCCATCCATCGAACGCGAAACATGAGTGGCAAATATTTGCGATACTATGTAATTACCGTTCTGCCAATAACGAGCGAGCTTAGCGACGGAAATATACGGGGAAAAAAAACAAAATAGCGGAACCCGATAACATCAATAGTAACGATTCGAGAAAACTAATTAACGTCGCGTCCAACGTCATCCAATTTGTCGTGTACCCAAATGAATTTGCGAATGAAGAACGCGGGCTGTTTTCTAATAGCGTATATGCGCTGCTTTATTTCCTACCGCGGCGAATACACGATATAAATTAATAGCCGTAATTGTGCTCGGTATGGGAGAAACGATATTCATATCCGTTCCATTTGTTTCCGAATGAAGGAAGTTTTGGAGGCGACACACAATGGAGGGACCTCTCGCGCATCGATTTTAATGGAGGAATTATGGTTGGTTTATCGTCGGAGTTTATCGTAATGGGGCGCAGGAGCTGTCAGGTGTGCGGTAGGAATCGCGAGAAAACGCTCACGTTAAATTACAACGAGGTCGATTGCGCGCGGAGCGGTGCTGCGCTTTCCACGGAAGCGGCTGCCGCATAATTAAGACAATTAAGGTACCCGCCGCTATAAATCACACCGCGCTCATCTACTTAAGTCTAATATCAGATCGGCGATCTAAAGCGAGTACCACTTCCAGTACAGTTAAATACATGCTCGATCTATCCCCGTTCCACCGTATGCTCGATCGTTTCATTTTTTTTTCCGCTCGATTTCGCGGATTCCGCTCGTCCGCCCGAATTCGCCGGTCAGGGTTAGCACGTATCGAGACGCGGGCAATTCCACCTGCGTCCTTCCACCTTGACGCCCGACGCCTTTCCGGCGAATTCGAATCGTGAATTCGATTTGATCGATTCGATTCGATCGGCTCGCTGCGTTTTGTTGCGCCGTGTTTTTTGCCCGCTTTGCAACACGCGGCGCGACTACGCCGCGCCGGATACGCATGGACGAGCGAACGGTCGGAGGAACTAAAGACTTTTCAAAGTCGATAGATCGTTAAACGCCCCATCGCTTACGAAAGCCATGTAATTCCCCGCGAGTCGCGCCGCGCGATAGGTCTCTTTCTTTCTTTCTTTCTCTTTCTCCCGTTTTTTCTCCCCTCGCCCCCATTTACTTCTCTCTGCATTTCGTGTTTCCCTTTCTTTCTCCACGCATTTCTCCGATCCTTTCTTCCTTTTCCTGTTCCATCTCACCGTCGATCCGTCTGTCCTTTTCTCGCGGAGCGATCTGGCTCTCCACCGGAGGTGCAACGATCATTAGGGCGGGGAACGATCAGGATCGGAGCATAGCACCTGGCCCGATCATCGGCAACTCTTAATGCCCACACGCAATTCCGAATGAGAACCCGGCCAAATACAATACAGAAGTGTGCGCGGCCGAATCTAATCGATCTATCGCACCGCGCCGCGAATAATGTACAAAACGATCGATCGGGCGATAATTTCCAGCCGGTCTAACCGTTTCGGCCGCTCGAAAACTATATTCGACGCGACTCGCCCGTGAATTAAGTGCGGCGGATGTCTGTCTCTTATTCCGGCCGTGTGTATAAATCACGCGACAAGAGTCGGACGGACGCGACGGACGGCTCGAGAAACCGCGAGGTCTTCGATCTTCGATCGTTCGTTACGATTACGCCGCTCTAATTGCGGCCTACTCAACTGCACATAATTTGCGCGAGATACGCCGGCACTCGTAAATACTTCCACGATCGTTTTCGCGGAGACATTTCTGGAGGACAACGTCCCGAGAAGGGAAGCAGCCCGTATAATTATCTGGAACCTTCTGGCAACGGCATTGAAGTAAAACCACTTTGTTAATAATCACTTACGATCCGAGAATATCAAGGGCAATCTGTTCAAGCAAACTGGTCGCGCGTTTCTCAAAAGAGAAACCTTTCAAAATTTTTTCTCTTTTACATTGTTTACGTGTCAATTTCTGATTATCTCGTAATAAAAGTTAATTTTCTCTGTCATAACAGTTACAATGAACGTGATGTAAGTTGTCAATTAATTTCACCCCGAAAGACTGATTAGTTTCCTACATACCTCGATATAAAATCAAGCGAACAGCAGCGCGGCCGTGTCGTAGTCACATTATTAGCGCTCTCTTGATCCTTTAGTCGACAGTCTGGTCCATGCCCGTCTTGTCGTCTTGCCCCGTTTCATTGTTTCGTCGCTTAATGCAGGAGATATCACGTAAATATCTGACTCGTCAGCGGGAAAAGGAAATGAATACGTGCAGAAGACGTGTGTTCAAACCGTACCTTCCAACCTTTATCAACAGGTACTTCGAAGCGTCAATTTTTTTTGCGGGTACATCGCAGTCATCGGATAAATATATCGTTTCAACCCGCTCGCATTAGATTTCTGACCGCCAAGAAAAAGGTTTCAACCCGTACACTGCTCGCGCCGCCCGGCCCGGCGCGGCGCGGCGCCTCGTCTTATTTCGCTGATCGCGCGGCACGCAAACAAATGCGCATTATGCGGGGTCTAAGCGCTCAGAAAGTGCGCTCGTGTTTTCGGTGTAACCTGAAGCTAAGCGGTTTAAGAGATCAACGCCGTATAAACCGGCCGTCTGAGAATCGTCTGGGGATCCCGCGTGCGTGAGAGGCGGCAGTGAAAAAGGGATAGGGCGAGAGACAAGTAGCAAGGCGAAAAAGAACGTCGTAGGGAGTGTGAGAGAGAGGGCGGGAGAAGAAGGAGGAGGACGGCCGAAAACGAAGAGAAGAGAGTGAGATACCGAGGAGAAGATGAGAAAGATTCCGGGCAACGAAGAGGCAAAGTGAGAGGGCAAGGCAGAAAGACGGGATGAAAAATTAGATTTACAAATCTGTCTTGACTACTATGAGATTGCTCGCTTACCGGTTAGCGGTGCTCAGCCTCCGTCTCGTTATTCCCTAATCGATCCTATTCCGCGAATAATGGTACGGTCGTGTTAAGAATGCGCGTAATTAAGAAAACGATCTTGAGTCTCTAGAATGACGCGCCTCGATTATTTTCAGCGTGTCATTCGATCAAAGGCGATCAAATAAAAGTTTGATTTATTATTTATACGGAGATGCATCGTTAAAGGTTGAGAACATCCGCGGACAGTTTAGGTGTTATGTCGAGAGTAAAGAAAGGTAACAAGTCCCGAATATTCCCTCGTTGAAGCGAAAGGTAGTTGTGCGTGTATTTCGTGCGTAACGTTGCGGTGTTGGTGTGGATGCATGCGTAGCGTGTGTATGCGCGCGTGCGTATGCGTGAGCGCCTCTCTGGCGCCTATCGCCTATGAAAAATGAACCTCCCTCCCTGGGCGCACCAGTATCATCGCCACTATCGTACAGATTGTTTCAACGGAGATCTTCCTCGTCTGCTTCGCCGCCGACAAAGCTCTAAAGGTGCCAGTGCTGCTCATCAAAAGAAAACGCCGGCCACTCGAAACGACTCGATTCTAAAGCTACTCTGGAGAGTAATTGCGGATCGCGGAATTTTTCATAAGATCTATTTTTACATACATCATGTAAATATAATAACAATATTTTATAATTTAACTTTTTATTACATAAGCACATATTTCACTATGTAAGTTTTAAAAGTAGAGGATTTTCACGTTATTTTATTCACCTATTAATGTCTACATATTTAATCAATCATGTATGATTTTATCTTATGCTTTGAGAATAACGCGTAAAATCTAATTCTGTTTGTCAGTCGATGACGTGTTTAGAGTAAAAGCCATGTGTTATTTTCATGGATAATTTTCATTTTCCCTTAGTCACGTAAGAGTCCGCTCTCGAAACGTTCGCACGATCCACGTAGATTAGCCATCAAGGTTTTCAAAATTGGTTCCTCGGTTAGTGAGCCGGGTGTTTCTTTAATGGTTCGCGCGGCGCGGCGCGGTTTCTTCTGGGATGCCCTCTCGAGTAATCTTGAAATCAGAACTCGAGATCCACTCGAGATATTGCAAATAAGACTTATTCACAGAGGAAAAATCAGCAGGCGGTCGTTAAAGCAGTCGTTTCTACATACGTGTCGTGCCACGCAGCAGTTTCTAGTTCGCACAGCTCGCAACTTCGATTTATAATCATTGATAATTTCCAGTTGCGATATTCTCATTTCTCGCGATACCTAATCGGCCGGGACGATCTCGATCGCACTAATGAATCGAAGAGACTTACTTCCTTCGCGCGAGGGCTGATATTTCCTCCTTAATCCTTTCAACGATAATCGGTCGTGATGAATATCGCGACCACGACGATCGGGGTAAGACATTACCTCGATGACAGGTGTCTCTAACCACAGTAACTCTCTCTCACTGTACAGCTCCAGGCCAGGAAGACCCCCAAAGCGAGCTTCCGTTGGACTGAGCCTCGCGGCGAGCCACCTAGCCGCGGCGGCTGGCCATCATCCTCAACACTCCCTGAAGAAGCACAGAATGGACAACGGCGATTATTACGAAAACGGACACCTCGGTAAGTACCCAGCATTTTATTTTGTTTAAAAATATATATGTATACACACAGTTGCTTTAAAATAATATTAAAGCTTTTTATATATCTTATCAAAAATATTTATAATTAGAAGGCTCGTATCACACACATTTCTATTGTATTGCGATCATTATGGTTAATTTTTCGTTGTATTTTTTCGGACGGTAAAAACGTGTAAATCTGAATGTTCTGATTTTTAATCGAGATTTTTATGGCGGAAGTATCTAGATGCATATAAACGCAGACGGTCGAGCGTGGGGTTATGCCAAATAGAGCACGTACGTGCAAATAGACGTACGTAGCGAGGGCCACGCGCTTGATTACTGCCATCCGTATATACGCTCTGGCATACGGTGACCCTACCGATCAATTAATTAGGGGAATCAAACACACTTGGAGTGAGCAAATTAACTGCGACTGCACCGTTGTGTTGCGGCCTGCGGTGGCGGTCACCGATGCCCGGGATATCGTACGATATCCCTTTACGTACGCAAATGATACTCGCGGCTGTCTTCACATTCTCCATGCCGGATTCCAATCCAGGAAGTTCCTCCGCCATTCTCGATTTACCTCGGTCGCGGCCGCTTTGCGCATCGCATCGTCGTATCTAATCATTCATTAATGATTGAACATTCCATTAATTATTAATACTTAGTGTTATTAATAACATAACGCAATTAATAATATTATAATCTCGCACAATTTCGTTCATCCTTGCGCGATATTCATCGCTCGCCGTGAACATCCGGAAGATCGATAAACGCGCATACAATATTCATTGGTTTATTTGCGCGGACTCTCTTTGTGCTCTTCGATAGCGCTTTGAAGGGTGTCCGTTGGGACGCGCTTATTTCGCAGATATATTATCATCGGGGGACATACAGAGAGAAAGAGAAAGAGAGAGAGAGAGAAAAAAATGGGGACGTTATTGCCGTCAACGTCGAGAGAAGGAAATCGTTAAATCACGTCATACGGCGGCGGCGTCGATCGACGTTCGGAAATTGTTTAAGCAAATAATCGCGAACACGCCGGCCGATCAATTTTACGGGCAAATACGTTTCACGGTGCAACGTTAATGAATTAATGCCGCGGCGCGTTCGCGCGGGTCCACGCCTGCAGCCAGCCGCGCTCGTTCTCTCGCGCGCTCGTCGGGGTAAACGTTGAAACGGCCGGCAATTAATTACGGCCGCGCGGTAATTGTATAATTGTTTTACGATTGGAGCCGGTCCCCCTGCTCTCTCTCGCCTCCCGTCCCGGCCGTATCCCGGTTACACTCGATCTGCTCGCCTAAAATATATATACGATCGGTTATATTATATATAACCGTCCGAAGAACAAATTAAAGAGGCTGAAAACGTAGGTAACGAGACACGGAGAAAGAGAGTCAAATTTTTTTTTAATTTTGCTCGGTGGACGCGGGGCGCTTCCCATAACGCAATTAATAAACTCAACAAGCGAGATCCGATCGCGATAGCGGGCGCGAAACATGCGTTTCGGGAGCGCGGCGCACAATGAATTCGGCACGACGCGTCGCGACGCTCGTGTGAGTGCGTACACGTACGAGAACCATCGCTTGATACGCATCCATGTTGTCTCTACGAAATTAAAAGCGACGAGAGAAATAAATAGCGGTAGATGGGCCGGAAAGAGAGAGCGGAGGAGAGAGAGAGGGATTTCCGAAAGCGGTTTTGCGTTTAGCCGCGTGCGCATCATGACGATTTGAATCACAAATTTTATCGATCATCCCTATAACTCGTTCGGATTGTAAGATGACGCAGGTCCGTAATTTCCAGAGATCTCCGTGATCGTTTGATGCATTGATCGCGGAAGTGTCATTAATCAAATTGACCCGGCATAATTTATATTACGTGACCTAATGCATATCGAATTGTTTATTAGCGCGCGAACTAAATCAATTATCCGGTCGGTTTGGGCGTTTGGGCAAGTGTGACGAGCATTAGCTCAAATATGAACGAATTTACTGTTAATAAATTTTCGACTTTTCCTCAAGCACCCGAATATAACGTGTCGCCCAGTCCGCACATTCGAGCAACGAACTCAATTCATCGGCGATGCTCGCGCGTTATAACTAATACATTACGTCGACGGGCGTAATCGTTCGGTCGTTTAACGGATAGAGGCGCCTCGGTGGTGGTAGCGCAAATTTCGGGTAGCTGCTCGAAGAGCATGCGACATACATACACGTGCAGAAAAGAGAGAGGGAGAGAGAGAGAGGAGTGGGAAGCGTGTCGCCCTCGTTGGGTGGCTGGATGGGTGGTTGGTTGGTCGGTCGGGTGGATGGGTGGGTTCGGCTGAACGGACCGCGGCTTGAAACGATGGTGTACTGCCAAGCGAATGCTCATAAAAGCATTGATTAACTGTTGGCGGTCGTAGGTCAGCCGGCACACGGCTGGCCCGTGTACCAATAAAACCCGGCTAATAGTGGCCCGACATCGCTTCAATATCATGCGTCGACCATCCCGAACATTTTCGTTGTCGCGCCCGCGACAATTTTCACGCTCGAAAACAGCGTGCGTAAAAATCGCGGTCAGCTGCCGGCATTAAGATTCGGCTCATCGCTCCTAATCTCAGAAATACGCGCGTTCCGAAACAGCCTAAAGCTATATGATATTTTGGATTGTGTCGATAAAATAAAAATATTCTATATAGACTCAAATGGCTCGACGATATCCAAGGACACGTGCATTCTTTTTCTTTTTTTTCTTCCGCTTTTAGTTTGAAGAAGTATAATCCGACGTGCACGTAGAATTGCTTTACGCATTTCCGGGAGTCGCGCATATAGAAGATTTTAATTGCTGCCAGCGCGCATGAGTACTTAATGAGCAGTTATGTTTTGTTGATGGTTTGATAAGGTGAATAGATTATTATGATATCTCTCTTTTGACGACGGCGTTACTTGTGTATTCGTAATTAGATGTTATCAATGGTTGGTGGAGGAGTTAATAACTGGCGTTATTGCTAATTTGCTTAGTAATTACGACTTAATATTTAAAATAGTCATTATATAATTAAAATTGGACGCGTCTTTTTATATGGAATTATAGTTCCGTGTTAATTTTCAAATTAAATTCATCTCCATTGTAACATCGGAAATAATATATTATTAAAAATTTATATAGATATAAAGGTACTAAATATAGCAAGTAACATATACTACAATCGTTGACGCAAGTATCAAGTGTACGTATATTACGCGAGCTTGTGTAAGTTTGTATCTAGTCCTCCTGACCACGGACCATCGCAGTTCACGAAGCTGTGGTCGATGATTCCAACCAGACCAGGTAGCCGCGCAAGATAATTAATGAATTGGAGAAACGATGAGATACCGTGAGATATCGTAAGATGTGTGTATCGCGTTGATAATTTTGTTGGTTAAAGAAATACACATTGGAACACAAGTATCGTTGAAGTATCCTGGAATTATCATCCTACGGTTCGGAATTACGCTCACGCTATGGAAAGAGGGTAGAATGTGAAATAATCATTATAACGAGGACGTCAACCGTATCATCCACCCATATAAATTATAGCTATGCTTGAAATTCAAGTATAATAAAAATTTACATGGTCAAACTTATCGAAACGTTAGTAAATTATTGCTGTTGCGGGCGTGTGCTGAAGTAGTTAATTCAAAAGTGAACTAGCGAAGCAAAATGAAAGAGAGAGAATAAGAGTTCTGAGATATAATCTCAACGGTGGATCTATCATTTTTTACCTTTGTCAGAAACGTTTCGGTCGATTTTCTACCCCTCATCAGTTACAATCAAGGTTTAACTGTGCATTTTTTTTTTGGTAGCCGGCACGGTGTGGCCGCGCTTGATTGTTTTTTACGAGAGGAAACCAGCAGACGAGAAGCGTGCATAGCGCGACGAAAAAGCGGCCACATCTCGGCGAAGGCTGCGAAGGGAAACGTAAGAAGGCGCCGGGTTAATCGGAGTAACAAAAGCACCGATGTATTAAGCCTCTTCATTTTTGTAACGCCTTTATTGCGCGCCGCGTGACCGTAAATCAATCGCGTTGAGAATTTTCGCGTTTCATCGCTTTTTGCGTAGCGGGGAAAGAGCCCGCGCAAGGCCAGCAAATGAAGACGTCAACGAGAGAGGACAAAAAAAGTCGAAAGATTGCGCGCGCGCGAGAGAGAGAGTGAAAGAGGGAAAAAGAGAGGGAGAGAGAGCGGTGGGAGGTTTTAGCATGCAGTGATTATTAATATAGCATATTATTGATATCCCTTTTACCATAACTGCTTCCCGCAATCATGTATCAGAAAAATACGACCGCGGGACCATCGCGTGAATGCGGAGGGATGTTCGATCGACTCTTATCTTTGATTATGAGCCTTACCTTTACAGTGCGGCGAATGTGGCTAAAGCTGGCGGGAACGGCAAATCGCGGCACGTCGTATAGAAACGCCGGCATCGTCGCGGGAGACGCATTTGCAACAACGTTTCGCACGACTTGTTCTCCCGCGCGAGAAAATAAAGGAGCAGTCGGCGGACACGAGCGCGCACACGTGTATACGTACACGCGTCGCGCGTAACCTATACATTGACGCGCCGGCCGTTGCGAGGGCCGCAGCCATAAAATCCGTGCCGCCTCTCAAAGCTCTCGCGAGGCACGACGGAATTTTAGTACGACTTAATTACGACGGTCCTCGCGCTCTGCACTGTCGTCCTTTTTATTCCACGAAGACCTGGGGGCGCATTTACGACGCTCCCGCGGATCCGCCCATCCACCGTATAGGGTCTAGGATCCTCGAGGGACTCTGTTCCAAAGCTGCCGGCCGTTTGAAAATCATTACTGTGTATATCTTGCGGAATTATGTATCTTAAGTTGTCGCTGCGCACGGTCGCCGATTTATCGAGGCTTAAGTATAGCTTTTACGTTCTAAAGAATCCTCCTTTTCGCATTTCGCGAAAAGATTACAAAGAATATTTTGTTCCTTCAATGTATAGCGCAATATT